TTCTCCCTGTTCACTAATTTGTTAGAATCTAATGATTTGATGATTTAGTGGAATTATGTGATTCCTTGTGGATTTCATGCAATGAATAAAGTGCAAGCACTGTAGATTAATGTGACTTATTATATGAATATGGTCAAACTCAATTTACTTCATCTGCTATTATTTTTATGTACATTGATATTTTTTGTCAATCAGTTGACTGTTCTTTGAAGATTTAAAATTCATGTTTCAGAGAGAACAAAAGATTTAGACAGAGTGGATAAAATAGAGCTTGCTGCCTTGCCTCAATCAAAAAGTCATCTTTACCAACTTCATAATTTGTGAAATAAATAGTTTTATTAAAAGGAGGAATTGATGTATGTATGAGTTACTCTTTTGGTACTTAATGCTTTGCCCGCTTCTTTTAGTTTCCTGTTGATCTTCTAGGGCAATGGCCTATATCAGCTATATGAGTCTTCTTCTGCTTTGACAATTACCAACTTGTATTCTTCCACTTTTGTAATTCTTTTGATGTCCCAAGAAGTATGTTTATGTTGTGATCTCAAAATCATGAATACATCTGTCCTTATCTTCAACTAATATTAACTTGTTTAGTTTACACTACAACTTGGTGAAGTCACCTAGGCAGGCACCTAAGCCTAGGCACTGGGCAGTCCAAGTACTCGCTTGGCTCAGTCCAAGCAGCCAACATATAATCATGATCTGGAATGTAGGATCATCTGATCCTATGGAAATCATGGAAGCTCGTTAGTGTACTTGCAGGTTGAACCAAATCCTAGTGAGTTGGCTCAAACGCATAGGGTTAATGTCTGCAAAAGGGAAAAAACCCAACAATTTGTTTCAAAATCATGTGACCTGCTAGTAACCTAGCGAGTTGCTCATTTGGCCTCACTGGCTCCCCTCGCCAGCTCGCTTTACTCCCTCTCCACCTCACCTCGCTGGTTCGGGGCCTCATGTTGTCGGCCAGCCTCACTGCCTTGCCATGTCACCTTGCTACCTCGAGGTGCCCCTTTGCTGTCTCGTCACTCTGCTTTCCGCTCTGCCTTTTGCTAACTCTTCTCTGCTCTCATCCCTTCTCGCTGTTAACCACCCTCATTTCCACTGTCCTCCCCTTGTCCTTACTTCTACCTCGCTGTGATAGTGCCCCTTCTTCCCAAATCCAACATTGCTCATTATTGAAGAAGACATACAACTTGCTGTTGTTTGACTGTATCTACTAGGGTAAGAGAGGATTTAGGAAAATGATTAATCATTTTAAGCATGATTAGTAAAATTGGTTAATGATTATTCCATTTTACTGTATAACTAAATACGAGAATCTATTCCATTCTTCTTCACTGTGGTAGCTTAAGAAACACATTACTGTTGTATAATTCGTAATTGTTCCATATTTTTTATAATTTTTATATTGATGAGTGGCTAGCTTCACTTGAGCGAGCACCTAGTGTCTCGGACATTTTAAAACCTTAGTGCTTTTTAGCATCTAGTGCCTTTGACAACACTGCTACAACTAGTGTGTCATCTCAAAACCAAGCCAATTTGCTATATATTTCTTTCATCCTCAGCCAAAACACCTGATTTAAATTCATTACTTACAGTCACCTAAGTTTAGGACACATTTCCTTGTGCATATGTTTGATAGATGAATGGCTAGCTCAAATGTTTTATAAAGAAACATCAAATCATTGAATGTATCATTCATGTACATGTACATAGTACTATTTTTTTAGTTTATCATTAAAATATCTTATTCTTCTTACCTACCAAATTTTAGGGAAGTATGTGTCTGCTGAATCAGGTTTGGAAGTAGTTTGGTTTTTTACTTTGAACTTATAGCTTAGTGTGAATTTTTATTTGCCTTTGGCTTCAACCTGATTATCTGGCTGAAGTTCATCCTGATTGGTCCATGTCAAGTTCATGCAAAGCCCTTTCTGACAGGCTACTAGATAGGCTGGGTCCATGTCCAACCCTACAAGTGCAATCAGCCCTGATCTGGCTAGCTTATTTTAGCCTTGAATGACAGCAATCTTGGTGAAGTTAGTTACACAAGCAAAATGTAGTAAAAATGAGGAACTTAATTGGTCTCCCTAGGTTGACTGGACTTTGATTTTCGTACCTTAGCTGATTTTTGTTTAATTCTCATCCCAGTGCTCAAACAACTGATTTATACAGTCATAGATGTGTGGTTGTAATGAGAAACTATTCAGTCATGCTCTTTTGAGCGCAAAAGTAAAAACAGCTTAATAATTCAATGAGTTAAATAGCAGGTCGAGGATAATGTTTTGGGTCAATGGATTTTATTTTTACCAGTTGATTAACCATGTTTGCTATTTATTATTAGATCTTTAGAAATTTGGGGATCAAATAGATCTTCAGAAAAATGGCCTATGTTATTGTGTAACAAAGTTATTGTGGTTGCAAGTGAAGTAGTGCCTAATAAGTTATATATGTTAAAAGTTCTTGTAAAAAAATGGAACATGAACGGTTTGGAAAATGCTTGAATGTTGCTGTCTATCATTATGTTATGACAGAAGTTTTATATGTATGCACTTAAACACACTGATTACTGGCAGGTTGAATTTTCCAACATTTTGGGGAGTATCGTAGAGAGCTTGAGGGATAATTATGAGGTTTCTTACCTATTCCTTAAACCTGTGACTAAGAAAGAAGCCCCCGATTATCTTGACATCATAGAGCAGCCAATGGACCTTTCCACCATCAGAGACAAGGTCAGAAACATGGAGTACAGGACCAGGGAGGACTTCAGGCATGATATTTGGCAGATAACTTTTAATGCACATAAATACAATGACGGCCGTAATCCTGGAATTCCTCCGCTTGCTGATCAGCTTTTGGAACTCTGTGATTACTACTTGCAACAGAGGCATGAAGAATTGAGTGATGCTGAGGCTGGGATTGACACCAGGACCTAGACCTGGAAAATGTCGAAGACGAGTACAATCCTGGATTCCACGATTTCCATAACCGGAGGTCCCAATGTATGTAAATTAGCTAGATCATATATATTACAGTTCTTAATGAGATTATGGAGCAGTTGCTTCTTTTAGCCACTGTATGTATGATTTTGATATGGTTACTTGGTGTAACTAAGCATGCCATTGTGACATTAGAAATGATAAATGGCGAGAAGTTTTTTTCGCCTAATTCCTGTTGTATGATCAATTTACTGGCGTTCTCTCCACTGTAACTGTGTTCTGTCGTTCTAATCCTTTTGACCACTAGAGATGGAATGAGATTGACTTCAGTGTAAGGTTTTCCTAGTCATTGATGTTATTTTTTGGTATTGGTTAGATCTGGGAAGTTCCAAATGAACTTGTGCTGGTGTGTATGATCCGAGCAATGATTTCCATCTGGATGTATTGCTTCATATGCATGTACCAATGGGTGTTTCGGTCCTTTCGCTAAATGTTAGCGAATTCATTTTGTTCTATGTTACTAGATGAATTGGTTTTGTAGTTTTTATGGTACTGAAATGGTGGACTCTTTGGATATGATATATTCATTATTATGCATAATTATTTTTATCTGAATTTATATTAGTGGATTAGGATTAGATGCCAGTACTGTTTTTCTAATACTTCTCTGTTTCCTCTGCAGCTTCTTGCAAATAAATTTTATTGTTTAATTATTATTTTTAAAGGGTAAATTTAAAAAAAATCTTAAGTTTAGGAATTTCTCACAGTGTCCTAACTTAAAAAAAAATTAAATAGTATTTTTTAAATGATTATTTAACCTTATTGTCCTTTACCCCATTGGTCACTCTCCCTTGGTCGTATACGCCTTTGCGTGTGGGTTAACCTCATTGGCCACCTCCTCTCCTCCTTTGGTTGTTGTGCCTCCACATAGATTTCGTTAGTCGCCCCTTTTCGCGTGCGTGTGGGTTGGTATTATTGGTCATCCCCCTCTCCTCCTTTGGTCACTTGTGCCTTTGCATGTAGGTTGGCTCTATTTGTTGCCTCTCCCTTTTCATAGGCTGACCTTGTTAGTCTCCCTTGTTGGTTGTCTCCCTTTACGTGTGTAATGCATCTAGGTTTAACGAAGGCACAGGGGTAATGAAGAAAGTGGTGCAAGAAGATAACAATGATAGGCACGATAGAGGTTAGGGTAAAATAATCTTTTTCATATCGCCATAGTTTCTATAAGGAATTCTCAAACTTTAGAGTTTTTTTCATGATTTAATTTTTTTTTAAATTACTATCTAGATTATTTGTTTAAGTCTTCTCCTAATTATAAATTAGATGCTATGTCTGTTTTCTTTTCTCCTAAAAAAATCCATCCATTTTTTTTCTCATGTTACTTATAAATAGATATTTATCATTTAGATATTAAAAAATAAAAGAATATATATATATTTACGTGAATTCTTGAAAAAAAACTCATTAACTTTGGATTTTTTTTTTCCTTAGAGAGCGAGCCTCAAACTTGAAAAATTTCTCATACACCATTTTATCTCTATAATTTTGAAAAATTATCGTTGCGTTCTCAGCCGTAACTGTAATTGGTCACTTGACCTATCGATCATCGCAGGAAGGCGGCTGGTGGCCAGACGAGGGGAGAGCGGAGAGGGGAGAGGGGAGAGGGTCGACTGGTGTTGTCAGTTAGTGCGCGAAAGCATAGGTGACCAAGGATGGGAGCTTTTCAGTCCTGTCCACGGAGATACAAGTGATCAGGGCAGGGGAGAGGAGCAGTTGGCGGGGTAAGCCTGTGTACGGAGTCGTAGGCGATGAGGGGATGAGAGGGGACCGGTGATCGAAATGGGTTTATTTAAAGAAAAATAATTACGCTGCTGTGTGGGAAAACTACAAGTGCGATAGTGGATTGATTCTCCATCACTCGTAGTCACGTGATAGGACGGTCGTCTCCCGGCCAACCGGGGTGGTCGCACGTGCGAAAGCCGGCCTTTTCGACCGATAAATAGAAAACCGACCTTTCCTCACCCCCTCTGCCTCTTCCCATCTCAGAGCTCGAGAGCTCGAAAGCGCGAAGCCGCCCGCCCCACCCGATCGGTCCCCCCTCTCTGCCTCCCGCGGAGATCTCCAGGTAACTGAGCCTTCCCCTTTCTTGCCTGGATCTCTCGATCCTTTGATCGGTTGCTTTCCTTCGCATTTCAGATCGCCTTCTTAGATCTTTGATCTGTTCTCCTCGCCTCTTCCCCTTTTATCTTGAATTTGTTCTATAGATTCTGGATCGGAACCCTATAACTGTGCTCTCTCGAGATCCACGTGCAGATCTTAGAGATCTCTTCATTCGTGTTGGATAGTTTGTTTCTTTTTCCTTAGATCTTGGATCCGTGCGTGTTGGATGTAACAGCTTAGGAGCAATGGGGCTCACCTTCACGAAGCTGTTCAGTCGCCTCTTCGCGAAGAAGGAGATGAGGATCTTGATGGTGGGTCTTGACGCTGCTGGTAAGACGACCATCCTCTACAAGCTCAAGCTCGGAGAAATTGTCACCACCATTCCCACTATCGGTGAGCTTTTTGTCTCCCTATTTTTTCCCCATCATATTCGTTTACGTCTACTGTTATTGTAAAAAATGATACCGAATGTTTGAGCTCCTTTAAGCCTTAATGGGTTTCCTCTTGCTGTACCGGATAATAGTTTTGCTATTACTTGACTAGCAGTTAATTATAGTATGAAAGTGATATAATCTTTTATCCCAAACTGTGTTTACATGCTGGTATGTGTATCCATGGGTAGGGCTAAAAATATAAGGCTGCTTACAAGTCTATGGAAAATTTAATGTTAATTATTATCGTATTTTTAATGCACCTCACGAAGTGTAAGTGTTTTTTTTTTTTAAATTCTTTGGTTAGAATGTCATGACCTATTGTAAATCCCTGTGGAGATTTTCTTGTGTTCTCAGTTCTTTCTTTTTCCAATGGACTTCAATTCTATCTATGTTTCTCCATTTGGATCACTAAAATGTTGCTGTGATTATGTGGTCAATTCATGTTTTGTTGTGGAGGAGGGAGTCAGGGACGGTGGCAATATTGATGAGTTTCTCATAAACACTCTTTCTTTTGTGCCAATTTTAATTTGCTTTAGTGTTTCACTGCAGGGTTCAATGTTGAGACCGTGGAGTACAAAAATATTAGCTTCACTGTTTGGGATGTCGGAGGTCAGGACAAGGTACCATAGCTTTAGCGTTAGCTCATATGAGTTGTTTGATTAGTATGGTTTTTGCGTGAGATCTGCTGATGTAGTTACTTGTTAAATATAATTAAGAAAATCATCCTTGTCATCGTTATTCTCACAGGAATTTGTTTATTTTTGTTACCTGATCTGATTACTTCTCTGATAATTGTTTTGGTGATATGATCTTGTCGACAACAGATCAGACCTCTATGGAGGCATTACTTCCAGAACACACAGGGCCTTATTTTTGTTGTTGACAGCAATGACAGAGATCGTGTTGTTGAGGCGAGGGATGAGCTCCACAGGATGCTGAATGAGGTAAATTCTTCCATTCGGTAATGCCTTTTTTGACCCCTTTGGTTTTGTTTCCTGTCTCTGCTTATTAGTGATAACACCAACTATAATGTGCATCATACTAGTTCCCTGTTTGCAAAAAACTGTTTATCTATTTGTATTTCCTGCTTTACTACCATAGTTGATACAGAAATGTACGTCTACTTAAATTATTTTATATGTGCATAACCCTTGCAAACAAATGGATCAGATTTTAACAATATAAATTGATTATCACAAACATGAGGAATTCTATCTTGTACTGGTAGGACGAACTACGGGATGCTGTTTTGCTTGTTTTTGCAAACAAACAAGATCTTCCGAATGCAATGAATGCTGCTGAGATCACGGACAAACTTGGTCTGCATTCCCTGCGGCAACGACACTGGTATGACACTCTGCTTTCGTTAAGCTTAAAATCTAAAGCTGAACTTTATCTTTTGTCTGGCAAATCACTGTTGTTAAATAAAAAAGAGCAATCTTCCCTCCCTCTTTTGTGAAGGATTCAAATTATTTAGCACACATAAGTAATGAATATACAATTAGACCACAAATAGTGATCTTTTTTATATGTGCATCTCCTGAACTATCATATTTAGGCAAATACCGCACGAAAAGATTATTCTTCCTTTTTCTTTGTGAGCAATTTGAAGAATTTTGTAATAAGCAGGCAAGACAGCTAGTGTTCAAGTAAACCGTTCGAGATTAAGGAGGTTGCAGGTCCTGTCTAATTTGGCACATTCATCGTGATTATTTTCAGGTACATCCAGAGCACCTGCGCTACTTCTGGTGAGGGTTTGTATGAGGGCCTTGATTGGCTCTCCAGCAACATTGCCAGCAAGGTATCTTCTCTTTATTTATGCTGCTGGAATTTGGTTGTTCATGCTTGCATGATCTCTTTTGGCAATGATTTGACAAGATATATCAGCTCCTACTTGTGTTTTACAAATCAAAATAAACTCTGCCCTGATACACGTTTTGGTTTTTGCTCATCAGGCTTAAATTGCCAGGAGGTGCTTGTTGATATGTTCTCTCTCTCGATGCTGGTCTTGAGTGCAAGGGACATTGAGAGCCGACAGAACTATTAGAGGAATTTATGTGGATTATTTTACCTCAGCTTTTTTGCATTTACGTCTTAAGATTTTGCTTGTTCAGAATGATTTGAGATGTTGGCTACCTTGTGTTTTCTGTTCATTTCTGGATATTTTCCCAACAGATGACATTTGCTTGTTGAGATCATCACCGGCGGATAACATCTTTATGGTTGCTTCTCAGCCTGCTTTTCTGTATTTCTCGGGTTTTGATGCCAATTTTGTGCGCCATCTCGTTAAGCCAATTCGTTCTTGACAACTTTAGTGAGTATGAATTTGTGCTAGGAACAAGCCCAGTGTGAATTTGTCCACCCTCATCTATCATCAGTGTATTCATGTTAGTTTGGTTGTTAAAACCTGTGGGAGTTGGTAGAAAATTAGTCGTAGTAATCGCACGAGCTGGTCAGCTTTCACCTGTAGCTTCTTCGATATGCTTTCTATAGCCAATTACACAGCATCCACATTCATATAATTTAAACGACACATTATTAGCATCTGCGTGCTCCTTTTAAAGGAAGTTACGAACTCAACAAACTAAACCAATACCCTCACAGCCAAACTAGATTCATCATCGCTTGGATTCTTCGCAGCGATCGAAATCGCATTCATGGAGCACCACTCTCGATGCCACCGACAGCTACGGCGAGAGAGGAAGGCGGTGGTGGCGGGAGGAGGCAGCTGTCAGAGCCAGGATGAGGGTTTGGGGGCGCGCGTGGGCGTCGAGAATGGGTCGGACTTTGCTTTGTTTCAGTTCTTTAGCTTGGCACTGAAGGGCACTTAACTTGCATCATTACTCTTCTGTCACTATCTCCACAATAACAATGTTCCATTGTTTTGGGTTACGCAGAAAGATCCCATGCCTTGGCGACACCAGGGACCATACTAGCCTCCCATCGTACACACTGCACGTTGCCGCTGTCACAGAATGCAATTGCGGACCCCACATGACAGAAGGCGGTTCTCGCCGGATCTTCCGGTCGTTGCTCAGCTCGTAACGACAATGGCGGCATCGAGCTTTTATGGGGTCTCGTGATTAAAACGATCGGTTCCCGTCACCCCAACCGGTACCCAACCTCCGTTTTCCCCCAGAAAAAAAAAAAAACCAAATTAAATTTTCTTGTAAATACTAAATTTATGTATTTTAATTAAAAATCTAAACGTCATCGACCGGTTTGAATCTGATCGCCGTGCCGTCGTACCACCCATCGATCAGAACACTCACCGGCAGTAACTGTAAAAACCCCGGTCACCCTCTTCGTCGCCTCCTTTCGTGACGATGGCGAAGACACCAACAAAGAAACGACCACAATGACTATTAACACAGTTCATTCTATTGTTCTAAGCCACCGGTTTCCTCCACCTTGCGGTTTCCATTTGTTCGGCCCGGCTTCCCTTGTAGCTATTAATACCCATCCTTTTCCTACTGCACTGCTATTATTGTTGTCATTATTGTTGGCGATCGCCCAAATCTCGCTTCCGCTCCCACTCGCAGCCCTTCCGACTGCCGGAATCCCCCAAAGCATCGCTCCCTCTTGGTCGATCTTGATGGTACTTCTCTCTCTATTTCCTCTCTAAATCTCTGGAGTTCCTCACGCGAAACGCAAGTTGTGATTTGCTCGTCTTTCAGCTCGCTTTTGGCCGAGATCCGCAGATCGGATGCGCTGGATTCGCAGTCTGCTTAGGAGGCTAGGTTTTATTATCCTTGGAGCTAACTGGAACGGGAGGTCGGAGTCGCTGGGTTCTTGTTGAATTAGGAGAGGATGAGTAGCAAGAAGCAGGACGAGAGGAATGAGAAGATCATCAGAGGTCTCCTCAAGCTTCCTCCCAACAGGAAGTGCATCAACTGCAACAGTCTGGTGAGATTCCTCTCTGAAACTCCCTTGTTTGGGTAAATATCCGTCATCAGATTGTTTACGCTTTTATGACTCTTTGATTTCTTCTTGTGCGATTTGATATTCTCCTTTTCGTATGACTATATGGTGCTGATATGGTTGGTTTGCTTTGCTCTTGGTGCAGGGTCCACAGTACGTTTGCGTCAATTTTTGGACTTTCATCTGCGTGACTTGCAGCGGAATACAGTGAGTGACTGATTGATTTTCTTTAGCATGTGATATTGCGGCCTTCTTGCATTAGCATAGTGTTTTCCATCAGTCAAATCGACGAGTTTGACTTTACTTTTGGAAGATGGAACTTTAACTCTGTGTCCATTCGTAACACTAGTTATTTGACGGCTGAAACCTAAAGAAGGTTAGTGTGGTCGCTGCAAAAGTCCGTTATTTCCTGACCCCTGGATTAAAATTTTAATCTGCTTCACAACCATTGTGGTTTCTTTCTGCTCAATGGATAACATTTGAGTTAGGAAGAAACATTTGGACTTTTGTTCTTCATGCTCAATGGGTTATGTTGTAGTCGACTCATAAAGGATTTGGGTGTTCTTTTGTACTTTCCCATAAGGCAGCCCCAAAAATGATTTTGCTAATCTTTACCTCTCCTTGGAAGCCTGTTGACTATCCTCTGGGTATTCTTTTGTGATTTGACTTTCTTAGCATTGGTATCTAGGGTCAATAATTCTAATAGGGTTTTTCATGTTGGTACCAGTTACCAAATTATACTGAATAATTTTTGAGTAATGGGTATCGGGAAAGTAATATGAGCAAAGTGGGAACAGCCCAGAGTACACGGCAAGATTGAAAAAAAAAAGTGAAGACCTGGAGTAAAGGAGAAGAAGAGCAACAGCTATTGTAGTTTATACCTAGCAGAGATGATAACACTAGGAAATAGTAGTATAAAAAATTATAGAGGAAGTAAGAGGAAATGGAGAATAATGGTTGACAGTCAGATTTTACTCAATTGTCACATACAATAACCACATTAGGCTATACCCTTTATTAAAAGACATCTCCTACACCGTTATCAAAAGACCATCCATGTTCCTAGGACTCTTTAAGACACTTATGATTGGAAAAGATCAACTGGGTAGACATTAATGTAGATTATCCAAACATAACTAGAAGAAGGAATACTTGAACTTGTCCTACAGCAGTGTCCTCTTAGATCCCATAATTTTGAAACCTTCATGCACTGGACTATCAAATATACATGACCGGCTGCTTTGGACAATCTATCATGTTTCAACAATTAGAAGACTAAATATGGATCTTGAGTATACAGAATTTCTCATTATCTCACATCCATCATGAGACTTATCATGAGAGTTTGTGGGGTTTACTTGAACACCGATTACTAGGGACATAAACTGGCTTAGCTGCATATTTTTCTTATTGATATCAAGATATTGATTGTATTGCGGTTGGAGCTTCTTGGATGATTGATATTTTGGGTATTTAATATTATTAAGAGATAGCTACTTGAGTTCTCACATTTTCTTTTCTGGCATTTTATATATAATTTTTATTTACCATACAGTCGTGAGTTTACTCACCGTGTGAAATCGATATCTATGGCAAAATTTACTTCTCAAGAAGTTGAGGCTCTACAAAAAGGAGGCAATCAGGTAACAAGAAAAATTCAATGTAATACATCAGAAATAGGCTATGCAAAAATTTCATGTAAAATTTTCTGTCGCAGCGTGCCAGAGAGATATTCTTGAAGGATTGGGATACAGAAAAAATGAGGTTGCCTAGTAGCAGGTAAATGATAGAACTTTATTGCCATGCTCTTGTTTTTAGTGTGCTTGAAGTTTCATGGACTTTCGGATACATATTACAGCAACCTTGATAAGTTGAGAGAATTCATCAAATATGTTTATGTGGAAAAGAAGTATGCTGGTGGGATATCCTCTGACAAGCCACCAAGAGACATGCAGGTATACTCCAAAGATATCTTATTGTTTTTGAAATTTAAATTATGATGCTTATTATATTTGTCGTTTAGCAGTTTTTTAGTTCTTTTAATATTGTATTTATTTTTTGCCCTTGTACTCTGGGTAGACCCACAAGAACCATGAAGATCACAGGAGAGCCAGTTCTTATCATTCCTTCTCACAGAGCCCACCTTATGATGGTCAATATGAAGAAAGATGCAATGGCAAAATGTCTGGGATGCTGGCAAGAAAACCTGGTTCAGATCGTAGTCTGTATGAAGGCAAGATTTCCAGCTTCATGTTCAGTCCAGGTCACCAAGCAAAGCAGTTGTATGAGGATAGATTTGCTAACGAGACTCCTAATTCAAGGAATTCAGACTACTCCATTACTAGTGGAGGAGGTTCATCTATATTTTATGGCCAGTCACCAAATCTGCAGGACACTGATAATAGCAGTCCTCCTTTACATCAAGTAAGAAATATTTTGATTGAAGATACACGACCCTCAGTGTCGAATACATATGCTGATGCAAATATCAAGAAGAATTTTAATGGGTTCCCACATTCACAGGTCTATTATACATAAGTTATTCACTAATTAGTCAACTTATTTCTTTGGTGATGTGACTACATGACTGATGGATATATAATGATTTTTTTCTCTCTTTGTCCAGAGGACTGCATCATCAAGTAGCTTCGGATCCTTTGACAGTAACTCTGCATCTTTGACACCATCTAGTTCAAGTAACATAATTGATCTTGTTCTCGAGTCAGAGAACTCATCTCCAGTCAAGCATCCAGATATATCTGTAACTCCCTCTGTGATGCAAGACTCTGCTCCTACGCATGCAAGGAGTCAGGATCTTTTTGGTCTACCAGTTATGAAACAACCAATTCCTTCTTCAAATTTATTAACAGATGTATTTGCTGTTAACCATCAACGTTTGTCTCCTGTCCCTTCAGAAGAAAAAGAATTGACCAAATCATTCTCTGATAGTGTCGGGTGGGCCACATTTGACTTACCTCCTCAAGCAAATCCTGCTTCTGAACAGAAGGACCCTACTTCTGTGGTTTCTCAGGCTATAAAGCATCAATTTCCACAAAATGCAGCTCAGGACCTTTTTTTCCTTTTTGCTGACCAGCATAATGAAATTATACCATCATCAGAAACAGATAAAAGTTCTCAGGTGAGGAATGTGGCAACCATTTTTCTATATTATTAGTTCCCAGGTCAATGATGTTTCACAGATTCTACCTCAATATCATCCATGATGCTCAATTAGTTTTTTTTTCTTTTTTTTTTGTTTTGTTTTTGGTTTGCAGACCTGGGATGCATTTGGTTTTTCTGATGGAAATTTTCAACCAACATCATCCGACAAACTATTGCAGACCAATGAAGCAAAAGTTCTGGTGCACAATCCTCCTGCAACTGGGGTTCTATATTCCAGTTTACAATATCAAGAGGTACTTTTTCAATTATGATGTTGCACAAGTTTCTTGTGCTCATCAGCATTATATGCTTATCTTCGAAATATTGAAGGTACCTGTCGAGGTTGGTTCACAAAATTTCAGCACAGATGAATTTTCGGCTCTTAATGTACCATATGATGGCTCATCTGGATCTTCATTTTTCTCAGTTCCATTCTTGAAGGTTTGTCTTTTATATTTATTCTGAATGATCTGTGAAGTTGTTAACAAAGACTTAGCATCGTTGAGGCAGAAAGGGTAATTCCATTTTCTAGTTCAATGTCATTCATGTGTTTAGCAAGGTTATGCAATGATAATATACATATGAAATAATGTCCATTTCAGTAGAAGAGAGGAGAAAAGATAGGGTTCGTCTTGTCAATCCGTAAGGGTGTACCTATACGGTACGCACTGATCTATACCGTGTGTCGATATGGCGGCACGTACCGACGATACATAAAAATGGCTAAAAATAGCTCAAGAAATTTCTGAAAAATGGAAAAAAAGTTATATTAGGATTTTTAAGTTGAAAATAAATATAAATTTAGTATAATTTTAGCAAAAATAATCTAAATTTAAAAAGAATAGTAATATCTTTTTTGAACTTTGAGGAGTAACTTTATAATATGTTTCGGACCATTCTTCCATTGATATTGAATTATCTACAAAGAAATGATTTAAATTGTTAGATTATTTTTTAAATAATTTAATGGTAAGATTCAAATGAATCAAATAATCAATTGATGGATATACTTGGTTCTACCACCAAAAAGAATGATAAGACTCCATGAGTGATGAATTAGGGTCCTCGATCTTATATATTTGTATATCAATTTGATATGTTTGTCGGACCCAATTCTGAAATTGATCCCACGACATAGTATACTAATATACCGTATACCGTTGGTACATCAATGTCGAAAGTTTTACTTTTACCACTAATCTATTGCTCCGTATCATTAGATCGATCATCGTACTGTTGCTCGATGAATAATGACCAACTATTACCGTACTGTTGTTGATCTTAAATTTCTTTGTAATACAATAGCTGTGAATATGATGAGCTTCGCTTTATGTCCATGTCGTGTTGGCTCTGTCATATTTGCTCAAAATCATCCACTACTTTTACCTTATGTGTATAAGCTTGACTAGTATCTCGTCGAGTTCCATGATCTGAATCTTGGATGACATGCATAAAATATTGCTTTTCGGTCCATACACCACTCTCAAATTATATAGACAGGATCATCGACTCCCTGACGTCACCACCATCATCAATCAAGACACTGTTGCCCACGTTGTTGCTATGTCTCTGGACCGAGCGAGTTGCTGAATGCGATTGAGAAGGTGTCTAGTCGGCCGACTTGATTCTTTCCAACGATGCAGCCGATACTAGTGCCTTCCCTTTTGCCTTTGTACATTGGGCGGACGACTATGATGGTTGGGTGTATTTAGTTCCTAGAGTAGTCTAACTCGATGGTGTTCAGCTCCTTCCGTCATGTTCTGACCAAGGGGGATCTTCCTCCTACTAGGGATGTTTAAGAGAGTTGAAGAGTTTGAAAGAGTGAAATGAATTGAAAGAGAGGGGAGGAAAGGGTTTAGAAACTCTTTCCTTTTATTCTAACGGTCAAATTGACTATTTGAAATAGGATAATCTCAGCCCTTGATTGGTATCGGTTAAAATTTGACCGTTACCAACCATTACAGGTCGGTAACGATCGGTTTTCGATCGTTCTGATCGGTACAGACCTCGTATCACCCGATACGGGGCCATGTAACCTGTATCGCCCGGTATGGGGCGGTTTATGTACCGATCCGACGAGTGGTATGCTACGGTACGACAAACCTTGAGAAAAGAGTTTAACTTTTTTATTGATGTATATGCCATTAGGTTTAGAATTTAGTTGGGCATGATAGTGTGCTCTAATGGGAAGAGAATTTTGAGTGAGTATACATTGTATTGACATGGGCAATTTATGCATCACTAACATATATGAGTTGTGCCAAGCCCTTCATTATGGTCCACAAAAGGTGTAGACACTAGACTAGGTCTTCTGGTTCTGAAGTGCTTTCCTTGTTTTCTTCTGTATTTTGTTTGCCATTTTTGGTTTGCCTCCATGCAACTTTATAGTTCTTTCGTGTATCTTTTCCTTATTCATACACCCTTGAAAACAGAGTCTAGCCCCTGCATGTACCTTGAAGGTGCTGTTGCCCACCTGAGCAACCTCATCTCTTTCCTTGTTGGCTATTCTAGCATAGCTTAGTTGCACTCTACTGCATCCACTGCTGGCAGCTAGATTGAACAAATTCTCGTTTATATAGGGATTTATTTAAAGTCGTACAATACGTAGCCTGCTGGTTTAGATGATGGAAGAGTGAGTATGACATTAAAAAATATAATTTGCTGAAGATCTTGTGATCAGGTGACAAGCTGTCATTTTCTTTGGCAGATTTATGCCCGTCAAAGTGATGGAATTGGAACAAAAGAAAAGAACTTCCATTCCTGTGGTGGACAAGTCTTTTAGTCAATTGTACTTATTTTGGAGGGTTTTCACTAACATTTTGACTGTATCTACTCTGTATGATTATGAATTCAGTGTTGCTTCTGTTGAAAATAGAAATCCAAATTTGTTATTGCAACAACTTTTGCATCAGAACTCCTTAATTCTATATAGATACCTTATTATATGTTGTACAATTTGAGTTGAAGACATGGTCAACCAGATTGGATTTCCAAATCATTATACATAAGCAATGGGCATTTAGGAGTCAGGAGATATAATTAAACTACCTTGTGTAAAGCTTTTTGGTACTGCAATGTTTTCTTCACATTACTTTAAGGTAAGAAGTGGAATCTTCAAACTTTTTAGTGTATTTAATCCTTTGCAGATAAGCAGACCAAGTGCTTGACCAAGGATGAAATTTGAGAAGTTGTTGGTACTTGATTTTTCTGATCAATTGGCTACACCAATTTTTTCTTGCCATGCTCTACTTACAGCAACATCCATAGGCAATCCTATCATCCTCCTCAGTGTCTGTCACTTAAGTACCTAATATTATACGTTTTTTAAAACTTTTGTATCCATTATAATCACAAGGTATATGTGATGCAACAGATTAAGTAGGTCTGTCTTTGTAAAGAGAGTCTGAATTTTTGTATCTTGAGAAATGGAAAGAGTTTAGCCATGAGGTTTTTTTTGTAAAAAAGATTGAAACATTTAGGTTTTGATGTGTCAGTTTGTCTTTTACTTATTTATTTATTGTTTGTGTTGCTTCCATTATCCTCTTCTTTTTAACCACCTTTTTGTTATTGTGATTTACAACTGGCTGAATAATGCAAGACTAATTATATGTAAATTAATAATGAAAGACTTTGACCTAATGAAAGACTAATTAATTTTATGTAAATTAATAATGCATGATAATGACATCCAAATTTTAATGTATTTCGTCTTTAAATTGTGTTTTATAAGCCATCACGTTTGGCATCCTGTTTTAGTTAGACTTCATCTCCTCACAGCTTGTGCCTAGGCTCAAGAGACATTGGAATGTGAGTGTGCTATCAGATATATTAAGCAATTATTGTCCTGGAGGAAGTATGCAACTGGAAATTTGTATGACAACTAGACATCCTCCAAAGAGCAGTCAGATAAATTCATAGAACTTTCTGTTTGATCCATAATGTTGTTTGCTAATCAGTTCATAACTTGCATTCAGAGTGTGTTTTGTGGTACATCCCATTTGACATAGCCTTGTGCAAGGCTTGGTAATGCTAGGGCTAATGACTTGCAAGGCCTGGCATGGTGCAGTACAGCATGCAATATGTACCATACCAGGCTAGGTTTTGCACATTCTTTAATTGGATAATTGGGTGATGATTGATAATTCCTGGAACAGTATGATGTCAGTATATGTGAAGCAGAGGAGGTTGTTTGATCCCTTCTGCAGCAATTGTTGTTAGGAAATATATGATGACTGTACTGCTAAGATTTAAGTTTCTTCTTCAATGAGTAACTGTCTATTCTGTAGTGTATATTGGTTGTTCCTTGAAGGTTTGTATATAACGATAGCATGTATCAAAATGCATTCGTCTTACATGACAATCCATTTGTTATTTGCAGGGAGGGACTACTCAAGAACAGAAATCAACAAATCCATTTGATCTTCCATATGATTCAGATGTAGACAAAGATAATTTGGTATTCAGCAATTAGAAATTACATTGAAATTTATGTGATAATTCCTGTTCTGATGTAGCCTTTTGTTTGTGTTTTTTTAGAACACTTAAGATCTTGCTTTGGTCTGGAAAGTTTGAATTCAAAAGTTTAGTCAGAAGGAAGATAGTTTTATTTTTCTGTTAAAAGGCAGAAAAATCTAAAGAAAACAGAATTGTTTAGCAAGCAGTTTTTCTTTTTGCATGGTTTAATGTAGTTTGAAATCTACAAGAGTACCTAATAGGCAAAAAAAAAAATTTCTTTTCCTGCGCCTTTCAGTTATAATACAGTATGAGTTGATGACTATCATAACATTTGATGACATTTAGATTCAGTTAGACAAGAATGGTAGTTGCTTGCTTTGATATTTCACTGTAGTTGTTTTAACTTATGCACTAAAATCTCTTATACTATAGTGTATCATTTGTCATAGTAACATTAGTTTGGCTGGTAGCTTATTAGTAGGAACAGGGGGTTCATTTTCAGAACTAAAAGAAAAATAATTATGATGGAGTCTTGAATCGAAATCGAGAAGCATGGTCGTCATTGATTGAAACCATGTAGCATCCAAAACTCATTTAAAAAATGCAAATGAACTCATCTTGTTCAACAAAATATGATCCTAGGTCGTTTCAATAAAGTAACCAAACAATTTATCTTGATCTAGAGTTGTTGGATGGATGCATAAAAAAACTATCCATATTTCTAAATATGAAGCATCAGTTTTACTGAATCACTGATAGGATACTGGTTCAAGTGTGTTGCTTTTCTTTGCAGTTTCCAGACATGCACTCATTGCAAACTGCATTGCCAAATCAACTTTTGCCTACAAATTTACTTGGTGGACAGCCCCAAACATGGTTTTCACAGAATTCAGTTGCAGCTTGCGTTATGCCTGTACCTCAAGGTAAAGCGTTCAGTGAGTCCATCGAGTAGATATCATCACACTGTTAAAAGTGTTTGATTCTTCTGTTTCAGGAAGCCTAGCATACAATGCAGGGCAGGTACCAAGCTCTCAATTGCGGTAGGCTGTGTTGAATACCTTTGTCCTGCATTTTTGGCAGTTGGTATGTATTCTAAATATTGTTGGTATAACCAGGGACTTAACTTCACAAGGTCCTGTTGCATCCTTTGGTGGAAACCCTTTTGCTTAGAGAACTGCTCGATCAGTTTGTCTGCCAAGGGTATACCTACTGGTGGGATTCGACATGTTTATACGTTGCGTCGTAGCCTGTAATCGAGGGCACATGTACTGATATTCTCTTCTGAACCTTGTGCTACAGCCACATCTGGAGGGTTATACAACATATGCAATCTGGCATGTTTCATATATATATGTGCTGGCTTGAAAGATTTCCCGAGTGGAAATAGGTAAGTTTTATGGACTTAAGGAGATGATATTTTGGGTATATGTTTGATATATGTTCGAACAATGTTAACTGTTTTGTGGTTGCATGTTGTTTGTTCCTTTTATTGGCCTCAGATTTATCAGAGCTTTGGCAATTATGTTAACCTGGTACTAGGGGTTTAAAGAACTGTTGATGCTTTAACCCGATTTGCTGCAACTAGTTAATTGTACCATATTTATTTGTTGAGATCTTGTCATTCCAGAAGAGTGTTTGTAATTCGTTTGTTTATCTTTCGTTAGTATGACGTTCTCAGATGTAACATTGACTTTGCCGCTTGCTTTTGTGTTTAAAGAACGTGATAGTTGCGACTGTTCCGTAGATTCTGGGTTCAGTTTTAGGCAATTATTAATAGCCTTTGTTCATATTTACTTGTTCGAATCTCAGATACATTTTTATGTTGCCCTCTTGTCAAACTAATCAATCATTTCATAAGATCAATCATTTGTTTGTAGAGATTAGTGATAATAGAATGTAAAAGCTGGATCTCTTTTTAGAGAGATCACAACAAGACCGACAAAGGACCTCTAGACTTACAACGTGACATCTCAGACCCGAACAAGGTGATCCCATGACCTTCGTGTTGTATGTACAAGTTGGCGTCGAACATCATAAAGCTGTCCTGGAAAACTCAGAATGGCTTCGCACGGTGGGACCCCTATGGGTCGATTGGCGCTTGTTCGTAGGAAAAAACCCATCTTGCTCGGTGTCATATTAGTTGGCATCGAACACTACAGAGTCGTTCCAACCCATACAGGTCGATCGTTTCTCATTCGTAGGGTACAAACTATCATCTTGAGGAGTTAATAGTCATTAAAGGACCATGTACGATCGATCACCCCTTCGTAGATATAAAAGTCAATCCTCTAACCAATGGGAGGGGATTTCACACATTCAATTCACTCAATTCTAACTTAAGTTTCGGAAGGGTCGAGTCAAAAAATCTCCCTCCCGTCCTTGACCTGCGTATGATAGTCGACGACGAAGAAGCAGGAGACTAGGCCCACAACTCAATCTGACTCGACACTAACTTCCGTCACTCGAGTCTATGCGTGGGCAACCTTGCATATTCGGGATCAAACAAAGTCATGTCGACTCTCGACTATGGCGTAAGGGTTCACCAACACATGATCGAGTAAAATGAAGAAGCTTAGTATTTGGTCGCACGAATTTATATGTGCTGCTCAGTTGGCTTTTGGTCTCCACAAATGGAGTATGCTTCAGTTTCTTCCATGTTCGCAGTTCCAGTTTTGTCTCTGTTCAGCTGGCTCTAGGTCTCCACAATTGTAGTATGCTTTAGTTTCTTCCTCTACGCATGCTTTGGTCTCTCTACTCGTTCCTTCTCGACATTTCCTCCAACCCACTTAGCCTGCGCGATGGTTGTCGCTCCTTTATTCTTAATGATACCACAAGTGCATGTTTTATGCAGGCTGGTATTTGGATGGGTCAATTATATATTATCTTTTGTAGTTAATTATTTTTAATATCTAAATTTTTATATTTTAAAAAATTATATTGATATTTTTATAATTATGAAAGTAGAACAGATCAATTTATTCTAACGTTATCTGTTTTACCAATAAAATATAAAAATAAAAATAATTTTAATTTTTCAGTTTATGATGGCGGATGATGTCGGTGGTGATAGACGATAGCATCATTAGGAGTCACAGGTGGTTGTTGTGGATGAGAAGAGCGACAACAAGAGATAAGAGTTGCTTTACATATATGTCAATATTGATGTAATTGTCAAGCGATCTTTTTATCATTTTGCATCTGCATCAACGTCGACGTAGTTGTTAAGCGATGAAAGGGTCGTTGATGTAGATATCGAGCGACTCTTTCATTGCTAGGCAATTGTGACATCATCGATACAAATACAAAGTAGTGAAAGGATCTCTTGACAATTGCATCAACATCGATGTAGATGCAGAGCAGTCCTCCTCTTCATCGTCGCTCTTTTCATTCACAACAGTCACTCATGGTCTTCAGTAGTATCGTCCGTTATTTACTACCACCAACGTCATTCGTCACAATCAATTGAAACGTTAAAATTATCTTTTTTGACTTTTATTTTTGTATTTTCGTTGGTAAAACTAACGACATTCTGATAAATAGATCTGAATGTTTTATTTTCGTTAACTATAAAAATATTAATATAATTTTTTAAAATATAAAGATCAAAATATTAAAGATAACTAACTCCATGTGTTATATATATATATCCATTTGGATCCCCCCAAATGTCTATTTCATGTACGTGCCCACCCGCATTAGATGCCGTTCGCTCAATCCCAGCCTTCCCTGTTGCTGACAAATCAAATTGACGGGTATCCGATCGCTCCACGTCTCTGACGCGGCCTTCTACGTTTCTCGGAATCATGCGTCATATACTTATACATCGTATGTTATATAGTCACGCGTTCGTCAGGAACTGAGTAACGATGTTCTTGCTCTCGAGGCACGACGCGCACGGGAACAGCAAGAGAAAACCCTCCTTGAACCTCTCGAGTTGCAAACCCCTCCCTCCCTCTCGACACCGCGGTCACACATGACGCAGAGGCAGTGAAAGGGGTTGGGTTCTGATCCAGATTTGATTTCTCCCCGATGGGGTCCTCCGCTAGCCACGTTGCCGCCCCGCCCCCGCTTGCTCCTCCCGCCGTCGGCCTGGCGGTGGCCCTCCCACCGAAGCAGGATGAGAGGACCGAGCCCCAGAAGGTCGACTGGTTGAATCTCCCCTGTCCCATTCCGTTGAGTGAGTCTCGACGCGTTTGCTTTTGACACTTGGTTCATGTTCTTCCCTTTTATGTTATCGTTGTTTTCCTGTAAATAACTCTGTTCTTGATAGCTAAAGAACTTCTTTTTGTTCCTTCTTTAGTTCAAAAATCGGTGAATAAATTGCATGTTCTTTCATCATAAAGCTGCGATCTTAATAAATTCGTTAATTTAAGCGTACGTCGCATCTTAATCTAACAAGTGAATTCTTGAAGTTTACTTCCGCCTTCTTCTAAGATGATAAGATTACTTGTTTTTGTTACCTCAATCTTTGCGGCGATACACATTATTGTTTTGGATACATATCTTGTACGTTTGATGTGCGTCTGCAAGATGTGTACTCTTTAAATTGCTTAATAATAAGTCCTGAATGTTACTGAAGAAAGGTCAAAGATGTTTTTTTTGCTGTTAAATACATACCATCTCATGAAAAGTAAATGTGGTATCTCACACAATCTCATAAAGAGCAAATATGCTTTTGTATAGGCAGCTACAATCTATGATTGTGTGGTAATTGGCTTTCACTTAGAAACCTACTAGAATAATTAGCTAATGAAATGTATTGTTTTACTAAAGAAAAGAACCTTTCCTAAACATGAATCTAAATGTATATATCAAAAATCATAATTTACAAAAACATATTTTCTTTAATATCTATCTTGTATAAGTAGCTAAAACAGTAACATTTATCCCACAGATAAACAAGATTGAGTCATATTCTAGGCATCAAAGTATAGGAACATATTAGACATCATTGCCCATTACATCAAAGTTATTTTGTTATAAATGTGATTTATAACATAATATCTAGACCATCTTATCTCTAGGGATTATGCCTCAATGTTATAGATTCACTTTAAATGTATGACAAGTCTGAAGTCTCTATGGAGATTTTTAAATGTATCAACTAGAAACCCAAGACTCTTCTTGGAACATATATTTCATGCCTACCATTTCAGATCCTTGTACAAGGAACCATGTATCAACATATATTTCCATTTAGATGATTTCTCTTCAACTGAAACATTCAAAGTAGACTTTAACAAGAGATTTTTAAGCACTTGAATTTTCTGTTAAGAGGATGGGTGTTTTTGAACCACCAGGTTGAGAACAAACTGATCCTAATACTAAAAAAGAAATGTGAAAACAAAAGGCAGGTTTGAAGAGGATTCTGCTAATTCAGTTTCTGAATATATCTGTCCAATGTTTTCTACAGTGTCCTTGAAACCGGAGCTTTTTGAGGGATTGAGGTTTGATTTTACAAAAGGGATAAATCAGAAATTTTCACTCAGCCACAGGTAGTTTAATCAAAATTTTGTGGTTTTTTTTGGTGTTGCAATTGTAATTTTTAACCAAAAGACTTTTCCACAGCGTTTTCATGGGCTCTATGGAAATGGAAGTTCCATCACAGTCTTCTGACACAATCAAAGTTCCTACTGCACATTACGAATTTGGCGCCAACTTTCTCGATCCAAAGGTTGGTTGGCTGATTTGTTTTTTTTTTTTTGAAGTAGCTACTTGGTGTAAATGTCTCTTTGATGGATACTTATGAGGCAGTTATATAGTTGATACTTGTTGGAAGAGTAATGACTGATGGAAGACTAAATGCACGAGTAAAATGTGATCTGATCGATAACCTCACTTTGAAGATAAATGCTCAGGTGCCTAATGGTTTGAATCATTTAGAGGGAAGTACTTTTTCTTCCCTTTTGTTGTCATACTTGCTGATCATTTGCTATATATGCCGTGTTTTGACAGCTCACAAATGAACCACATTTCTCACAGGGAATGTTTAGCTTTGATTACAAGGTCAGTATTTCACAAAATTCTCTTAGTTCTGAGCATTTTTTTTCTTTTAGTTTTACAAATATTCATGGCTTTACCTTCACAACGTCCTGCATGTACAGGGAAAGGATTTCAGGACTCAGTTTCAAATAGGGAATAATGCCTTCTATGGTGCCAATTGTATCCAGGTAACCTATTTTTGTAGTTTTTCAGGTTTTGTGAGTGTGTGTTGGTGAATTGCTTGACAGTTAACATCACATTTTGTTGGTATGGAGGACCCCTTTCCTATGTTATTGACATAGTTGCACATACTCGATTGTTTCCCATCAGTTACTATCATCATTTATTGTGTTTCTTCTTTATGCTGTATTTCTTGGTTATACTGTACATTTTTTGTTATACTTAATATGGTTAGAGTTGCTTCATCATGAATGATTATCTTTGACTACACTGGGCAGCACATTGTCCAATAAATTGCTAGTTAGTTTTGCACTAAAATTCTGATCTATGGTAGACATACAAGAAAAGGTTTTGGTTGATGCCCTAAGCCATATTCCATCACTGCATTTGTTCCATTGGAAGCAATGTCTACATGCCAGTGCAATATTTGTGACCCCAGTGGACAGAAATGTTTCATAATTAGCTACTTATTCTATATATATAGGTTCATTCAGTAAATGAGTTTTCTATGAGAAAATGTTGCATATGCATGTAACCATGGTAAGACTGCTTCATGTAGTTGATACAAGCTACGTGAAGCATCAATATTTGAGTTTTCTTACCTCCAAGTAAGCCAGTACTTTGAATATCGTCTCATCCTTGCTCAATTCTCAGGTGGAATTAGAAGTAACAATGGGGATATACCGATCAGAGACATCAAAGAAAAATTTGTTTGTTTGCATCATTAAAGACCTGCTCAAACAGTTTACTGGAAATGAGAGCTTGGGCTTCCTCTCATTGACATAGAGGCAGTACAGTTTTTTTTATACCCTCTGTTCCTGTCATGATTTGGGTATCATGCCTTTTGTTTTCATGCTCAAAATATATTTCATTCCCACTGTTCCAATTGCTCCTTTGAGCAAATTCTAAGTCCGTGGAATGTCTAGATTAGGTGTTCTAGCCTTTATAAATTGCCTCCTATTCTGTGTGCTATCCACATCAGAGTTTTGTCCTTGTTCATTAAGGTGCAATAACTGTGATGATGACATACAGCTTCGGCTCCTCATCACACAACTTCCTATTGCACTTATTTGGCATTCTGACCACATGCCTTTTTCTGTTACTTCTGCAGAGTGTTTCACCATATCTATCCTTGGGTGGCGAAATCTTTTGGCTTGGTCATCAGAGGAAGTCTGTTATTGGTTTTACTGCTCGGTACAATACAGATAATATGGTAAATTCTCTCTTCTCTCTCTCTCTCTCTCTCACTGCCCACCACCCTCGTCATTCTTCTCTTCAATAGGATAAGTCTGCTGAAGGTTTTGGCAGCATTTATGTTTGCAGTATCTCACTGTTCTGACATTTTTATTTCTTTAGTTTGATTTTCCTGCATTACTTTGTCTACATTTATTTGTACCAGCTTTCTGAATGTTCCATCGCAAAGTTTGAACATTTAATTGGCATAGCCTACAGTTCCTTTGATGATTTACTTTATGACGAGTCTGTGCCACCAGTGACGTTAACCTATTACCTATTTCTAGACATATGGCAGCCTGATGGTTGCTTTATTGACTTCCTGTCTTTGTTCACGAATATCTGCATCTTAAGAAGCCTCTTCTTTTGGGGTGTAGGATACTGCTTAAATCAAAATTTCTCTGGAAGATGTATGAGATCTGGCCTTGATGCTACAGACAATGAAAACGATCTAAAGCATCCCTTCTATTTGTAAAATCAATCTGCTAGTCCAGCACACTATGAAGGTATATTGTAGTCATATGTGGCCTTTGATTGCCCTTTGTACTTTCTTTGGAAAAGTGTTAGACGCTAGTGCTTGGAGGTAATGTCATATATAAGGCTTCACAGGCATCATTAGGCTGTGAAGCTTCCAAATCAATGTAAGTTTCTTTTTCTCTCTTTTCTGAGGCATGAACTGGTGTGAGGTTCATCAACCCCTATTTGGTTCCTAGGATCCTGAGGGTAGCTACCCTGCTGTTATCTTTTTTGTTTTTTTTCTAACACTTTCTGATCTGTATATTTACTGCATAACTTGCTGCAAAACTGAATCAGTCGGTGCTAATTATAAGCCAAAATCTAGTGTTTACGACCACTTATGAATTTCTTACCACTTGATCTTTGTTTCTTTGGATGATAATCCATAGTAGTTGACAGACTTGGTCTTCAAAATTCTCTTCCATGTATATGCTGCAGGATGTTCTTTTGGTTCCTTTTTCTAATCCTAGCCTTGTTTTCTTGCTTCTATTTATTTCCTTGAGGAAAAGGTAACTAGAATTAGGATTTTCGAGATCCTAATACCGTAAGTTTTCTTGCCTTTTAAATCTTCTATTTTTGGAGAATGGAGACTCATTCCATTTACACTAGAGGAGCAGGACCTATTTTCCAAAAGCCAGCGAGGGGGACGACCCCACTGGCTCGAGTATTGCTTAAGTTTCTATATTACTCATTTTCTCGTCTTTATTAAAATATACTTGATAACTGTACTTCGAAGGTGTTCATTTAGATGTTTCTCAATGTGTTTTATGTTGATTAATGCCAGGTTGACAGCTTGTTGAATAATTTATGCAGATTGCAACAGGGCAAGTTGCAAGCACTGGAATTGTTGCACTTAGCTATGTTCAGAAAGTATTTGAGAAGGTGAGGGATCTCAAAATTCAAAAGGAACTTCTATTCATGCTTTATGTCTGTGCATGCTGTTATAAATCTTATCACTTGCAGGTCTCTCTTGCATCTGATTTCATGTACAATCGCTTGACACAAGATGTCACCTCAAGTTTTGGTTATGATTACATTCTTCGACAGGTAAATTTCTCTGTTCTATTCTATCTGCTGGTTTCAGGTAATTAATCCAATCATTGCCTTAGATGGGCTTTACTTGGTCCGGTTTATATACTTTTAGTAAATATCTAATATCTGTACCCCAAGAATATATACCATTACACATTATGGTTTCGCAAGTTATGTAATGGCTTTATGTGCAACATGCTGAATTCTGCCTACTAAATTTCCACATGTATGTAAATATTCAATCCATGTTAATGAATGTTCTTGCCATGTCGCTCGAGGGGAAAACTAGATTCCAATGGTGTTATCGCTGCCTTTTTGGAGGAGCGACTTAATATGGGTGTTAATTTCATTCTTTCCGCAGAGGTGAGTAGAGCGTTTACCATGGATGGCTTCTTACAATACTTAAGTTAATTGTACTCTTTATCTTTATCTAATTTCTAATCATGGTTAATGAGAGGAGACGGATCATTTGAATTTTCTGGATCTTAGCAGATAAATATGCATAAAAGAATTATCTGCATCTGAAACCAATGCTTGATTTATCACTATCAATCCCATTCTCTTATGATTGCCGCACTGCAGGTTGATCACCAAAAGAAAGGATTACAAATTTGGGTTTGGTATGACTGTGGGAGAGCGAAGTTTCTCGTGTAATTTCTTCCGGAGATGGAATAACTGGTGATCTGAGTTGGATTTCTTCCGGAGATGGAATTTCTTGCCTGGCTGCCTCAGCCTACAATGATCCATGTCTCATAATTTATGGCTGCCAATCTCTCATGTTTGCTGAAGCTTCAAAGAAAGAAAGGTACTTTTATATTTGTACTTATATGAGTTGGATTTGAACAAGTTTGATTTTTTCGGTAGCCATTCAGCCATGTGTTTCCCGTTCACCATGATTCTTTCTCACTGATGCAACGGTATCTGTAACAAGCTTTCCTTGTCACTTCTCTTTTGCAAGAAATATTATGATGAAACATAAATTATGTTAGAGAAAAAGATTAGATATGGAGTGAAAGATATGTGAAAGTGATCAACATCATAATTTTTTTTTCTTTATATGAATTAAATAAGATATAATTTAATACTAAATATATTATAAATAATCTAATAGTTCAGGCTAGTCAGATTAGTGATATAATACTAAGAAATCACAAGATAAGATTTATATAGAAAAAGGGAAAAAAAAATATAAAATAATAGGATTTCAGAGTTCAAACTTTCTAGATTAATCAAAGAATATTAAATATGATATGAAATGTAGAAACTTAGATGAGTTTCAAGAAACCAGGAGAAAAAATAAATCAAAAGAAGAAATATCAAAGAGCATAATATATCTAGATCAGTGTATCAGAAGATCATGGCAATCAGAATTAATTATTGAATCTCTCTTTTTCTTTTGTTTTTTTCATGTGACTCACCTTTGATTTTTTTTCTCATCTAACTCATACAAATAATATAAGAATTAAAGATTGTATGTTTGTATGTTTAATATTTGTATGTTTCACCACTCAAGTGATGGATGGGATCACCCATCAAATTATCGTGCTATTGGTCGTCACATCATGGTTGTTTATAGTTTTATGCTTGAGCTTTTCTATTCTATTAATCACCTTTTATTGTGGTCTTATATTGATTTCAATATCTCGTTGGATGGATATAATATCAAGAATATCAGGTGATATATGAATTTGTCTCATCTGGTGTGTGGTCGAAAACTAACAAAATTCGATATTAATCCTCAGGAACAAAAGTTGACCTCAAAAAGTGTGGTTGAAGGGGAAGAGTAACTTAGGACCTCAACCAGAGTTCCCGACGATAAGAAACTGCCAAATAGGGTGAACGTGGACACATTTGGATTTGCTTCCCATGCATTTGAGAATCTGATGGGGAATTATCCCTCGATACTCTGTGTTAGATGATATCCTTAGCATCTCTGATGATTCATCTTCCAGTTTATGAACTTTGATTGATGCTGGATTTTACTGATAGTTTTACACCTCCTTATATGCTCTTCTCTTTGCCAGAAAGCTTTTAATTTAGGTTGCTTCAGCCGTTAAATAATGAAGATTTAGGCTTCCTTATATGTTAGAGTAGTAGTAATGTTATGTTTCTTAGTGAAAATAGTTGTTATTTTTAGTTGAATATTTTAATATTTAGAATGCATGTTACGTTTCTAACTTTTTCCTCCAATGGCGAGGCAGGTAGGCGAGCGGGTCCATCGTAACCGGGTAGATTTGCATCCTTTTTTTTTAATTCATAAAACATTTTTTCTTATTTTTATTATTAGAAAAAGGACCGGCCGAAGAGATAAGGATGACGGGGCTTCGTCTAAAATGCGCCGCGCGGCGCACGGTAGCGACCCACGTGCACGATTGCAGACCCTCTTCGTCATCGCCGGCGCACGACAAACGCGCCACGCTACCGTCCAAGGAGGGGGACGACGGGGAGCCCCGGCGGACGCTACGGTGATCCGGACGTCGCGGGGGAGTCAGAGTCACGCGGGTTCCGAAGCACCGTTGCACCGTTTAGGACGCGTGCCTTCCCTTCCCCGTTGACCGCTTTTGGCGAAAGTTGGCATTTTTAACCTCTTCACGGAGGTAAAAGTATATAACCAGGTACTTTACGTGGTGATTGGATTTATGGTGCAGGCAAATGGAGTCAATTTATTGCTGATTTGTCTCGGGTAGATACGGCTCATGAATCATGTGGGCTAAAGCCTAAAGCCATGCGAAGTTTAGGATGTTGTTGTGTTCTGATGGTCGGTACGATCCGCCAGTTTGAGGATTTTTGCATGATATTAGTTTTCAGATTTTTGGATCATTATTTTACCATCTAGTCTTTTCCCATGACTGTAGATGACCCCGCCACACCGGCCAGATAGAGCCAAAGCAGAGGGAGGTAATAATAGACGTCGCGGCTGCTGCAAGCGAGAGAAGAGACCACCTCCCCCTCTTGTTACTCTTCTTTCTTTAATCCTTTCTCTCTTTCTCTCTGATTTCCGAGCAACCCTTATCATTTCGTTGTACTCGTCTCCCTTCCTGTCTTTGTTCTCTGCTCTCTGTGAAGGTCGAAGTTTTCTGGGGGATCACCACCCGCGCACCGTCTGGTAGATGCGCAGAAGCGGCACTTGGGGTGGAACCAAACCTTTTAACGTGGACGGAAGATAAAAAGGTGCGATTTTTCCGCTTTCTGTTCTTTAAAGCCCTCTCCTTTTCTGTTTCTGTTGTGGTGAATCTGTGGTTCTTCTCTGCTTGAGTTCGGTGCTCTTCCCAAGTCTCGGATTCATTTGTTTGTTCTTATGTTGCTTCTTGTTGCTTTTCCGGCTTGTTTGAAGCTCTTTGGTGGATCGGCGGTTGGGGTTTTGGAGGGCACTTTCTTTAGCCATTAGCCTTCACTTTTCCCCCCTTCGACTTTCTCTTGTTTTATGGTCTTTATTCTTTCCTGTAAGAAAAAGGATGGATTTTCGGCGGGTTGGCTCTCAACCTTCTGTTGCCAAGGAAATGAAGTCGAGGAAGATTGAACTAGTGTGGGGATCTGCTCTCTCTCTCTCTCTTTTCCTAAATTGTTTCATAGTCTGTCGTTTAATTGCATGGATTCTGGTTCATTTTCGATCGATAAGCTCCATCTCTCCGTTCTGTGGCTTCTATAAGATCTGATCTTGTCAGAATCTTGTCTGACCGACCTCGGGATGCTTTGTTTTTCCTTCTTTCGTTCGTTATTATCGTTAATTATATTCATATTATGTTGGATTCGATGATTTTAAGATATCTGGTGACAAATTCAGCTTCTGTTGCACGCTGAAATGAACAAATTGTTTGGATATTGTGAATCTAAAATCCAACTGGTGCTTTGCCCCTTGGGAAATCTGTTTCTCTCCTTTTATCTTTTAGTATGATATGAGTTACAGTTTAATCCACTTTCTTTGCACCTCTTCTCTTCCGTTCACGTTGGATCTGGTATGACTGCCGGTTATTAGTGCACACTAAAGAGGTTCTTTGTTTCTTGTTTAAAATCTCAATTTGGTTCAATTTACTGATTGTTGAGCGTGGACCAAATGGAAGTACAGAACATGGATTGCTTAAGGGACAGAGCAGCGTTTTTTCATTTGCTCTTTTGGTTTTGTTTAGGGGGCTTTTGCTTCTGAGTGATTCTTGTTCTTGTTGCATGGTTTGAGAACTTGATTGTTCTTGGTGTTACTTTTACTGTCTGTGTAGATTTTAGGAAAATCATTCAATTAGTCTTTTGAAATTTCATAATATCCTTTCATAATCTGCAAATGATTGTGTCATATCTTTAGGTATCACTATTCTGAAAGAAATGATAAACGTATGCTTTGATTCCATTTGGCTGAAATTTTACTGGGGATGTTGATAATTGTAATGTTGCTTTTCTGTCGGGCAGAAAGTATATATATCATAATTGTTTCATTGTAGCAAACGTGTAAACTTTGGTGACTTTTAACTTTTCTACTTAGGCTGCATCGTGCATTTATGTAAAGAGAGCTGTTTTCCCTTGTCTATAACTTTGCTGCAAATCTTTTTATTATGTTTTATGATGTGCTATGCTAGCTGATGTTGATTATTTGGACCATTTATACTTCTCATTTAAGAGAAATGCAATGGGGATCCATGGAATACACATTTTAGAAGTTCATCTATTCTTGGCAGATGTACAAAGGCAGCCAGTGCAGGTTACCATCAGTCCAGGGTCCAGGGTTAGTTAATATTACATAGATTTGCCTGTAAAGCAAGGAGGTTGTTCTTGACAAACATGACTGTGTGATGTGATTTCTTTCATCCTAAATGTAAAATAGATCTATGTTGACACATGATTTTTTAACACATCCTGTGACTATGGCTTAAAGCAAGGTGATTATTGTAATTTATATATGTGTATGCATGCATTTATATGTTAATAATTGTGTATGTGTATATAAATATGTCTTCTTGTCGAAGACTCAGTTGTTGCACTCCTATTTGTTTGTCTTTTTGGTGATGGACTCGATGTTGCATGCCTGATTTACGTTACTTGTGGAATATGTTTTTACTTGATTTTTCACTTTATATTTAATACATGCATATTGTAATGATGTAAATAGAATGTCTTTTAAAACAGTTCACCATATTTGCATTAATACTTCTTGTTGTATATCTCTTTTGTCATTCATAAAGGATATTCTAGCAAATAATAGTTTTATGGAAGCATGTATGTAATTATCAAATTAGTGATATTCTTAATGTAATTCCAAACTTTTCAGGCACAGCATCATATGTTTATAAATGCCTGAGTTCTTTGAACTGCAGGCGAACATTGAATCTATTCTATAAACAGGGAATATAGATTCTCTTTCTTGTGCTCCTTGTAACTATGGGGGGGCTATTAGTTGAAGACATGGTGTATCCTGGTGGCCCAAATTACGTGCAAAATTTCACCTCCAGTGATGACAGGAAAGACCATTATGGTGGCTTCTATCAGCATCAGATGGGTGAATGCATGATGGGAGTGGGAGATCTGGTTGACCTGCCACCAGAAAAAATTGCTGAGGCTGCTGATGAAGAGAGCGATGAGGATATTGACATAGAAGAACTTGAACGACGTATGTGGAGGGACCGGATGCGACTGAAGCGCTTAAAGGAACAGCATCAGAACAAAAACAAGGAGCAGGGTGATGCGTCTAAGCAATATCAATCCCTCGAACAGGCCCGCCGGAAGAAGATGTCTCGGGCACAGGACGGAATTCTCAAGTACATGCTGAAAATGATGGAGGTCTGCAATGCTCAGGGCTTTGTCTATGGTATAATTCCAGAGAAAGGCAAACCTGTCAGTGGTGCTTCTGATAATCTCAGGGGTTGGTGGAAAGAAAAGGTCAGGTTTGATCGTAATGGACCTGTTGCTATAGCCAAGTACCAGGCTGATAATGTGATCCCTGGTTGTAGCAGTGATTTCAGCTCTGGAACTGCAAGTCCTCATTCATTGCACGAACTTCAGGACACAACATTGGGTTCCCTCTTGTCAGCTCTTATGCAGCACTGTGATCCACCACAGCGGCGGTTTCCCCTTGAGAAAGGAATCCCACCACCATGGTGGCCTACTGGGAGAGAGGAGTGGTGGCCTCAGCTAGCCATTCCAAGCGAACAAGGTCTGCCTCCATACAAGAAGCCACACGATCTGAAGAAGGCTTGGAAGGTCAGCGTCTTGACAGCTGTAATCAAGCATATGTCTCCTGACATTGAGAAGATCCGCAGGCTTGTTAGGCAGTCCAAATGCCTTCAAGACAAGATGACTGCCAAGGAGAGCGCAACTTGGCTTGCTGTTGTTAAGCAGGAAGAGGACATGTTCATGAAGCTGCATCCAGATGCATGCCTACCCCCATCCTCCGGGGGTGGTGTCATGGGAGACTTCTCCTTCAACAGCAACAGCAGCGAGTACAATGTTGAAGGTGTTGATGAAAGCAAAAGTGAGGATGTGGATTATAAGCTGGATGCTGACAGCAATGCTTTTAACTTTGGAGCTTGTTATGGGAATGGGAAATTCATTAGATCTCCAATGAAGGAAGAGACTGACATGGAAATCATTCAGAAGAGAACTGCTGCGGAGTCTGAACTGGTGATAAACCAGCGGGTCTATACCTGTGATAATGTGGTATGCCCACACAATGATATCCGTCAAGGATTTCCTGATAGGAATGCGAGAAACAGTCACCAATACTTCTGTAAGTATCAGAAAACTCATCCTTCAGGTATTGGGATGACGAACAACAGCTTCCACGTGACCAAGAACAAGCCTTCAATTATGCCTTTGCCATTGAATAGTCAGCCAAATCCAGTTAATATCTCTGACTTGGGTATTCCTTCTGATGGGCAAAAATCAATTGATGTGCTAATGAACTTCTATGATAACAATATAAATGGTGGCAAGAACATGGACTTGGGAGGTGTGACCATGTTGGAAGAAGTTGGTGATCTCTTTGAAGAAGTTACCAGCTTCGTGGAGCAAGCACAGTACAGGCAGGAGAGCATAGTGCCATTTGAGCAAGAATTTAATAACCAGCCTCTCGAGGTGAGTGGGGACTTCAGTATAGGGTCTGGCTTTAGCATGCCTGTAATGAATTCCTCAGATTCTATGCATGGGAGGATTGAGCATTCTTTGCAGAACCAAGATGGATTCAATTGGTTCTACTGAAAGGAATGGATACGAACTCAGGTTAGATGATTCAGGAGGGTGCTGAATCATGTGTCAAAATGATGAGATCATTTCAGCAACAGTGGAATAGATCTTTGGGTGAAGGTGATCTTCTTGTATGATATATGCAATCTTCCTTTTCTTTTATCATGTCACAAATATTAGTATGCAGAGTGTGCTCCCAAGATAATTCTTGTGAGATGCTCCAGTGTAGCATTACATAAGAGACTTGGTTAGGACTTGGAAGTATAAAGTGTGGGGTTTGTATTAGTTTTAGTTACCAATGGATGAGTGCTTTCATCCAATCTACTTAATAGATATCTGCTGTTTAGACACTCTTATGTTTGTACTTGCAATATGATTTTGCATTGTTCAGATATCTGTGGCTTATTTAGCTTGTGTATTGTTATTTGAACTTTTGGTTTTCTTCGTATTAGCTTCAGAAATTTCTGTTATTTTTACTATAGGCAGTGACTGAATATTTGTTTTGTTGAGGTGGAAATAGTGCAGTGAAATATCCTGATGCTATCTAGACTTCTACCTGTATGCCATTTATCTATCAGCTTGCAACTGTTAGTTTTTCTATTCACCTATTCTCCTTTATTATCTGTTTCTTCAAGATTATTGCCTATGTAACATCAGCAAATTCCCATTTGGCTTACATGTGTCTTGATGCAGCACCTTCACCCGTTGCTTAGAAAATATCCTTTTCCTTGATATTCAACTCTTGATTGTCTGTAGTTGAGAAAATTTTGGATGAGGCATCGTCTGTTTCTTGGAGATTATTGTGTATGTAACATCAGCAAATTCCTGTTTGGCTTATGAACTTGGCAGCTTCTATATATCCTTGTCTTGATGCACAATACCTTCATCCTATGCTTAGAAAATTTATTTTTCCTTGTGATGTTCAACTCTTGATTGTCTGTAGTTGAGAAAATCTTGAATGAGTTATTGAATCTGTGATCTATTTCAATTCATGACCTGTCACATCTTGCCATCTATCTAGTGCCTAATCACTTGAATTTTTGCAAGGACAATTTAGGGAGATTTGACTGCTAAAACTACCAAAGACTTGCCAACCATCATATTGGGTTGCTATTTCCTGGTCACAGGTACCTAACTCACCTTTTGTGGATGCTTTCTATCTCATCCCACTTATCCACTTGTGATTCTTCACATGCTTGTAGTTGAAAGCCAAAAAGTCTTTGATTCAAGATAGGGACTTAATCCACACCATAGTCGCATGCTAGGAAAAGTTGCTTGTGATGATATACAAAAGGCTGGTAATCATTAAGAGGAACATAGTGGTACATCAATTGTGTAAGAGGGATTTTTGGTGAAGGTGATGAAGAAGCTCTCCCAGCATTCAAGTTGAATATATGGTTGTGTAGTGGTGACCTCACTAGTAATTCATAGAGTTCAAAACATAGGTTACACAAGGCTGATGAACTCAGAAATGGCTACTAATCAGATTGTTCTGCTCATCAGCAGGTATCAAGGAGCACATATAGGGAAGAAGGTGTCCTTTGGGTGTTCAGAAATGATAAATCACTTGATTGGGGGACTGAATTGTGGTCCATTGTCAGATCAAAAGATAACTTGACTGAGCCACAAAGGGACAGAGCAAGATGTTACTTTTGGACTTTGCTTGAATGGTCAAACTGGCATAAAGATCATGTGCCTAATTGTATTGGTGATGCTTCACACAATGTCAGTGTGTTCTTCATACTTTGAAGAATAATAATGCATGTCGTCTGTGCTTCAGGTTGGTGATAATTCCTTGTTAAGAAAATAGTGGTAGCTTCCTTCAACAAAAACACACCATTTTGAAATCTTTGAGAAAAATATCTCCATGCAAACCTACATGGAAGAAACAAAGAGGTTCCCAAAAGAAAACATTATTGTGAGTGGCAATGACACACACAAAGCAATCTCATGGTTCAAAGGATGTTGGCCCTTGGGATACCTTACATGCCTCCAGCTTCCTATGATAACAACTCTATCACCACTTCCTCCTCAACTACATAGATTTCTCTATCATTAGTGCTGCAGCACAAGCCCCTTTCTGCATCCCTGGACCTACTGCTGCTCTCTATCAATGTTGGTTCAGCTCATGATGACTAGGGACTTCATATTATTGTCTGCAAATGATTCGAGAAACACTTTTTCTTCTTTCTAACCAGTCTGGAAATGAGATCATTCAACATCAGCAACTAGGTTTCAACTAATGTCTCATTTCTGAACAGATCTGGTCTCAGCCTGCACGATATTTCTGTGCTTGATATCATAAAGCTTCACAAGCAACCAGTTAGGCTTGCAAGCTCAAGATTCTTTTCACTCTATGATGGACACCTTCTGCCTACCAAAGTGGAAGATATGATTGAAGACCACAAGTACTTGCATCAACAATATGCAATAGAAGCTTGTTTATCTTTTCTAGCCAGAGTCTTTTCATCTCTCTCTCAATTATTTTTCCATGGCAGTGAGGAGTTTGCTGCAGGAAAGAAAGGAACAGTATTGGAAGCACTCACTGCACTCACAGTATTGGAAGCACTCACTGATCATGTCAAGATGAGGATCTGCAACAGTATAGGAAGAAGACTGCAGCCTGGATCTTCTCTAATCTCCTGCAGCTCTCTCTAAGAACGAGGATAAATCTTGTTAGAACCAGAAAGCATAAAACATATCAAACGATTCTTAGAGAAATTGATCTGCAGTCTCCCAATTATTCACATCAAACATCTATAAATATTTACCTACACATCCAAAACATATGCATATATATGTTCTTGACACGCTCTAAGAGAGAATAGATGTGATTTTGCCTCGGTTTCTGAATGCACAGCACAGGAGTTCTTGACATGCTTTAAGATACGTGTGGACAATATGTTCCGATCGGAGGGATATAAACCGACCACGAGGACTGGTCTGCGGAGCCGGTTGACTCGTTTCCCTCACAATGGACCGGACCGTTCGATTCAGTCGTTGATTCGGACCCGACCCGGCTGCCTTCTATAAATGCCCTCGTCATCCGGAGCACGTGGCATCCACGCGGATGGGCTCCACCGATCTCCTACGGGTGAACTGCGAGGTGACGTCACCTCTGACGGTTTTTCAAGAACCGGTGGTAGCCGTCTGATGGGCAATCTTCAAGAGAAACTCCTCGCCGCCCATGCGCCTCTGGAATGCCCTCAGGATACTCCGATCGGGCTTCTGCCGCGGCGCCGGATCCATGTCGAGGATTCGGGCTCTCCTTCGATCGTCAATCGACGCCATAAAGTTAGGTAATGTCGTCGTATTCGTCGGAGAAGTCCAGCCTTGAAGGGGAAATAGGCTTCTACAAAATCTTTATTCGATCTTGGTTTTGCTTTGGTCCCTGGATCTTGGAATCTTTATCGATTGCTGTGGTGGGACTGGGAGGGTCAAGATTCTGCTTTGGGGTAGATGATGAAGGGAAGAAGGTGCTGATGGTTCGTCAGTTCTTGCCGTGTAGAAACTTCTAGGTTTTGAAATGGCCAAGTATTGATTCAAGAAATAATAAATACGTCTCCGATCGAAGGGAATTGGGTCAGTAATACTGCAAGAAGGTGCGCATTCGTAAGAAAGCTTTCACATAGTGTATGTTTTTGCCCCTACTGGAAAACCTAATCCATGATTCCCACATTTCATGTACGTCGAAATATAGGTCCTTTTGCCATCAACAAGTCCAAATTATTCAATGTCGTTGTCGTATCCACATTGTTCCACATCTAGCAATATGTCTTTTTCAAGAATAAAGTTATGGGCCAAAGTGACGATGCATCACAAGGGACAACAAATCCTCGTCCCTAGAAAATCGTAGTTGAGTGGCTGACAGAAAATATCCAGCAATTGAGGATATCACTGTCTCCTGTAATATGACTTCTTTCAAGTGTATTTTTATTGCCTACCTAGCATTGCACCAAAGGATCACGGTTATGAATTTCTGAAGTCATCACTGCAGATCCATATATTATAAGTTGATTGACCACAGGGTGATGCATTTTTGTGTGTCACTATATTGTAACATGCATGTCTGGTGAGAGTTAAAACAACGTTTAAAATTGGTTGGAATCAAGTAGAACCGTGGACAATGAGCGAGAAAAAAAGTAGAAAGACATTTTGGTAAGCACTTCTATGTTGCAGAGCCTTCCTGTTGATTCTAAGTGGCATTTGGTTGACCATGAATGATTGAACTCAAAGATATCAGTTTCCAGAATTAATACTTTCTAAAATGCCTTTTAAATTATGCTATTTGCTTTGAAGTTAATATCCACTAACTACCAACACATTTTCATATCATGGGAAGTTTTGCAATATGCATTGGTTGTTGTAAGCATGCATACAATTATCAGAAATTATATCTGCTTCTTGCCTGCTTCATTTGTTTTGAACTCGTTAGACTTATGCTGTTCTGATGCAGACATGATTGTATAAAATAAATCTGCTCACATGTGCATCTTATTATATTGTCATGACTTAATGACATGAAATTGTTTAATGATCTTAATGCTACTATTAATTGAAAATAAAATTAAATCCTTTGCAATAATTTTTTGATGGCAATTTAAGATAAATAATGAAGAGAAATTTTAGCTGCTTCCAAATTGTTTAACAAGGTTTATTGAAAAAGGGGATACAGTATCTTGAAATTGGTTTAGGACTTTTCTTTTTCTTTTTAATGTTAATTTACAGCCCTGGCATGGAATGTAGATCATCCAATGGCTCCAAGTGAAAGATTTGTGTTCAACTTTAATTCAAAGGAGGAGTTGAAGAGGTGGCACTTGTACTCTGATTCAGTTTATGGAGGTTGTATTAATTCTTCAATTTGTTCTTATCTAAACTTAGTAAATGTTTTCATTGTTTTGAAGAATTTTGAAGTGTCGTTCCTAATTGGTGGTGTCTTGTAAGACAGTCAAGTGTAGCTTAGGGTAATATATCGACTGTCCTTAATGGAATCTTGTGTTTATTTTTGGTTAGAAGTCGGATCACGTGACAGAATTTCAACATTTGTATCACAGTATAAGATAGATGGCTAATTTCTGTGATTTTACAACTTGTACATGCCTATTCTTTTTTCCTGAAGCATGCTGCTCCATGGTTATTAATCAATGCAGGATCCATGATTTTGTACTACACAGAATAAGATTTTACCTTTAAAATTTTTGGCTTTAATTTAATAATAAGTATTGAAGGTTTGCTTCTAATGGTGGCAGACATGTAAATTTTATCTTTCTTTCTGGACCAAAACTGATTGTAGGCATAGGTTGTCAGTCAAAACACTCATGTTATTCAGGCTGAAGATATCACTGAACTGCATCATTCTATTATTCTACACTGAACTACACTCAGATCGAGTTAC